CCTGTTTAGATATATTCTGTAATGGGCTTAGACATTTATTTACAGTTAACATCTTACAGAATAATGATAAAGCAACCATATCAGAACTCACAAAAGGATGATCTTCCTTTTTTCCAAGCACTACTATACTTTCATGTAAAGATGGATGCCTAAACAATGCTATAGGAATGTGATGTTAGACATGGTGCACAGGCACCCCTTCATTCCTTCTAAGTATGCCGAGGGGAAAGCCAATCCTTATATAGCATCCCTATAGTACAGGCATGCATATATGAGCCCTGAAGAAAAGCAAACTGTTAAATAGCAGAGAGAGTCTTGACTAATTTATTTGGATTAGATAATAACACACAGTATGTGGGAAAATATCTTAACTCTAGTCTCAGAGAAGGAAATCTGATCAGTACAGAAATGTAAATAAAGCAGAAGAGCAGTGAAGAAAAATACAAACCATTCCTTGCCAGGGTGGAGGTGGACCCATGTTGTGGAACTCCCTTACATAATCATTGTAGGACTGAAAGCAAACACATGGATATACAGGAAAGTCAGAACTAGGCCATTTTGAAGCATTTATAGCTACAGTACATGAAAGGGTATGAACTTACCCCATTTAAAAAGACATCCCTCCGGACTCCTGAAAATCGTCTGTTGGGAATAAGATTTGTTAATTTAAATACAAATTTCTTAGTTAGGAGATCATAAGATGAATAATATTGAGCACCTCTTACCTGTCTACATCTTGATATCTGGGATCCTTTAAATACCCTGTTTAAAATCAAGGAGCATTCTGTATCATAATCACTATAACATGGCAACATTGTCACAAAGTCACTATCACCTTTACCTTGAGTGTGCTATTACCTTGTTGAAGATACATAAAGGAATGAAAGTTCTGCTGTTTCCACTGGTGGTTTCAGCAGTTTGTGAACCCTTTTTATTTTTTTTAAATACCCTGATATAGCAGACTCAAATATGTAGAAATTGGTCAGAGAATGTTCATATTGCCCATTCACCCATAAGAATAGGTTTGTAACTTTTTAAAAAGCTTCATATAAAATTAAAATGAAAGGACTGCAAAATGCATGAGTTTCCTTGATGGAATAGTTTGCATATTTGAACTACACAACTTGATGTTACCTATGCATCAACAGAACCCTAATGCTATTTTTGAACACACCTTGTGTTAAATTCACCAGAAAAAAACAAGTAGGACATATTCTATCACACCCTTGTGTATTTTGTTAGATTCCTAATTTCAAAATTACCTTGATCAGAGCCCTGAAGAGTTGTCCTTAAATACTTGTTTCAATCTTCACATTTCCACATGAATTCAAGATTTTGTCAACACACAAATCTGTACATTTGTGCAAATATATTTAAATAAGATATTAACCTGGTCTTTGGTGAAACTCAGGGGGATAATCAATCCTTGGTTTCTTTCTGCTGTTATGAATATCATAATCTTCTGGTCGACGCCTACATAAATTAGACAATAATTAAAAATTGGAGCAAAAAACACCTTCTGAAGAGCAACAAGAACTGCCCCGTAACAATGTTCTTGGATCATTTTTGTTTCTGTGTTTAAGTCTAGCTGAGTTTCACAAAATTTGCCACACAATGTTCAGTATCAGCATAAACACATATGTCCTTAACAGGCATTTTATGAGTGTGAAGCACCTTGGATTCTTAACATGGAATTTGATATACCCAATCCTATGTCTGTTTATTTAGAAGTTCAACTGACTTCTTTGAAGCTTACTCATGTGTGTGTGTGTATATATATATACCCTGATTCTTGCTTTAATCTATTTTCAACCTATTCAACTGCAAAACTGAATGTTTACCCTATAAAAATGAAGCCACATAATTTGTACAATCTTACAAATTTCTTCAGAACATTTAGATAAAATTTTATCACACTTGGATTATGAAAATTATTATAAATTTCTTACATGCAGTTCCACCCCCTAGCCACAGAGCAAAACAGCTTTATAATATATTTTAACATGTTATATTCTTGGGACTGGACCTAACATTACACATACAATTTATGTTACTAGCTGAAATGTTTGCATTTGTTTTCTGAAGTGGTTAATTTGAAGAGGTTACTTTTAAGCCACTTGTAAGAATGTTCTTTGATCATAATCAGCAGCCCCTTGCCTCCAAATACACCACCAAAATTGCCAGTTTCTACAAAGGGCAATATAGACCAGAGACAATTATTTCTCTCTCATCCCCAACTTCCATTAAAATCAATATTACCATTTTAAAAACAGATTATCACAATTCTGAGCAAATAAAGCAAATGCATGTATAGAAAAATAGATTTAGAAAGAGCTGGTGTAAAGAATAAACATACCGCTTTCTTGTAGTTTGAGTGTGCACTTACGACCGGTATAATATATGATAGTAACAGTTCATACAGTAGTCCAACTAATGACTTTAAGCTGAAAGCCACATACATATATGGAGGCCCTGGCAGGCTTGAGAAGGTGTGATGGTTTATAATGTATAGTTTGCAGTCCATTGCAAAACCTTCACTTGTAAATACTTTATTGCACTGGAAACCTCTTAGGCTTAACTTCAAAAGCCATCTTGGTGCTCAGTCCTCTTATGCTCAAAGAAAAGGGGGTGCTGCCAGGATTCCTCCTACCTACAGGTTACAGTGTCCTTTTAAGAGCAAGGATATGGGGACTCGTTGGATATCTGTACCTACCACAGGATGTTTCCACAAACAGGAAACTAACTGAAAAGGTTTCAGCCCAAACCACAGTCTTTAGCAGAAAAGCTTTAGATTTATCAGAAAGCAAAGTGGCTACACAGGGGTCAGGGAAACATGTTGGAAAGAAGGGCTTATATCAGTCCTTTGCAAAGACTTCTCCAATTCTGTAACAAGATACACCCCCACTTTTCTGGGGAATGTTGGAAAGTTCATAGAGCAGTGATCAATAACCATGGCGATCCTCTAAAACCACTTTAAAGTCCACAGGTGCTGCCAGCATCTGGAAAGGTTGGGTACACAGACACAGCAACAGCCATTCTTTTTGGTTTGTTGCCGGGTCTCCAAGGGCCACTTCCTCCCCCTTTGGAGAGAAGCTACGGCTTCCAGAAGCTCAGCAAGATGTAAGAGAATATTTGGTAAAGGGCTTAACCACAGCACGGTGATACAATTTGAAACAGTCCCAAACACGCTCTTCTTGGACAGCAAAATATTATAAATATTTTATCCTCAAAATGAGGTGGTCATCTTCTGCAAATTATAAGTGATCCTGATAAAAGTCCCATATTTGACAAGGCTTATCCAGAGATATACCTGAAAGAAAAGGCTTTTACAAGATATTAACACATTTTGGAACACACAGACTTGCTCTTCCTCCACCTAACCTGCCCATAAGAAATCCTCTTACCTACATTAACAGATCTGTATAATCTGTACAGAGATCTAGTCTAAGTTAGATTCACAAGAACTTATTTTCTGCATAAGCAAAAGGTCCCCATTTTCCTCTTGAAAGTGACAAACTGGGGGAGGGGCTGAGGTGAAATCCTCAATGAAGCCACAAACCCGTCCATGCAGCTTGATGTGAGGATTTTCTCTCTTCTTGATTGTAGGGAAAACTTTTTGATGAATCACATTCCTCCATCACGTTATTCTGACACATGTGCTTATTATCAGTCCAAAGAACGTTTCTAACCTTCCCACATCTCGGAGTGGCTCTCGACGGGATGGGCGTCCTCTTGACCGGGGCTGCGAGTGCATTCTTCTCTTGTGCCGCATTTTATGAATGACTTGATACAAGTCAATACTTTCATCAGGAGGGAAAAGAAGGCAAAGCTGGGTTCCACATTCAAGCTCAATTTCCTGGAATTGATTTCACAAGATCATTGGAAAACATCCAGAATCTCCAGAACCAAATTTTTCAACCAACCAAATTGAAAGTTAATATTTTATTACATGTTTTCACTCTAAGAAATAAAGAGCAACATTCAGTGGCCCTCTGAACTTGGAGGATTATGCGCATACTGTTAAGAACCAAAGAAGCATAGAGATTAAAGTTGCTTCCGCAGTTTTTCCAGCCTGCAAATGATGTAGGTGGACAATTCTGGCCAAGCCTTTTCTGCCTATTTATAAGGAGGACAGATGAAAGTGCCTTCAGAATGCATCATATCCTGGCAGAGCTTCACTCCCCTCTTCCCTGGCTCCCCACTCCCAAGCTAGCTCCAAGGTCAGCCTTGGTATCTCAAGGGCTGCAACTGACATGCAAAGAACCCTGCTGGCTGTGAGGGCAGGGAGAGGGAACACAAACCTGGAAGCCCAGCTCCAACCTTAGTGCATGTTTCCAAGATCAGAGCTGAGACTTTTTCCAATGGCTGGCCAGATGGTTTCTGCTAGCCACAGGATTGCATGATACACTAAGGAAACAGTCCAGCTCATAAGAAATAAGAATTTCTAAAAACAGTCATGGTTTTCAGCAAGTAGCTGTATCATACACCTTAACTACCATGTGAAACCCAGAATATGCAGCTCACTGGCAACATAAACAGTAGCTTAGGTAAGATTTGCATTTACTAAGCTTAGGACATTTAATAACTGAGAGAGAAATAGTTTTAGCTTACTAGCTAACATACATGTTATTTGCAACACAGCAAATAATGTTATAAGTTTTTTTTGTATAAGCAGTAACTGTAAATAACCATGATTTGTGAAATGAAATCAGTTGTTCACATGGACTGTTTTTATAGGACCTTACTGGGCAATTCAAGAAACAGGAATAACTCTTACATTAGTCCAGAGAAGCAACACACTACTGGTTTGCTGTTGACTGTTTACCACACCTATTATTTCCCCTCACACCTTAATTACTTGTGGGAGAATGAATTCTTATTTCTCTTTCACAAAAGCAATCTCACCAGAGCTGAGAATATTAGAATTATAGCTCTCCTAATTTCAAGGCAATATATTGGCACAAAGGTGCCTATAATGATTTCTTCTTCCTTTTTTAAAGAGACCAACTGCACTTCCAAGAGATGCTGTAATAGAAGAGATGTTGACATGCAACTTTTAACCAAGAAGTTATTCATTACCATTAGCCTATGGTCTGTTAACCTGGATGCAATTATGAATATCCTTTCAAATGTGGACGACAGCATGAAATGAGATCCCAATAAATGCATTTAGAACATTTTTAACCATTGGCCTTAACATACTGAAGAGGAGTTAAAGACAATTGACAAACCTGTCCATCACGTCCAATCTTTACTGGCTTATGTTCATTCCAAGGATTGGTCAGGTGAGCAGATTTTGTGAATGGTAATTCACGCCTAAATGCATAAGTAACATGTAATACATTCTATGTGTTTATTGGGTATTTAATTAATTTCATACAAAAATGCTTTCTAGGTATTATAACTAAGAATTTACAAAGATATACAATAAGCATTGTGAATTAATGAGTGATGGGTCTCATTACCCAAGCATAGCTTAAAAGATAACTGAATGTGTAACACACACAATAACGTGAACCGTTACAATCTCCTAAACTCCTCTTTAGCTTCAATTACAATTCAAGATATAGAAGACCTTAATTAAGCTTTCCCTTTGTTCTTCTGTCCCACACTTCCACCATGCAAATCCCTCTGAGGCTCCTTTCTGGAGGACAGAAGGAGGACCTTGCTATTCTGCACTCCTTTCCCTCATCTCTGGTATCCTGCTACAATTCTATCAAATGCAAAAAACACTGGTAAGCTTTGTTTTCCAAAACTATATGTCAGTAGCATTAGGAAAACTTATCAGTAGTGCTCTTGAAACTGGTAAGGGGGAGGATGGGGAGAAAGGGGGTATTAATATGAGATAGACAGAAAGAGGGAAAATCATGGGATGCCTTGGGAAGGGTTTCAGGAAGGATCAGATCCTGCTACCCTCCATTTGACATCAATCAGAAGCACAACAGAGAATGAAACAGGCCCAGATTTGGCTCTGAAGTATTAATTCAGACCAACAGATCTTTATGAAGTCCAATTCCAAACCTAGCTTGAGGGAACTTGCTCATCAGTATTCTAAACATCTAAAATGAAAGACAAGCATTTGTAATTCATAAGTTTGTCAGTGACATAACTACAGATTGGGAGATGTAGGTACACATTCAACCTCCTCAGGCAAGCAGCTCCAGGTATGTTCTACTGCTGGTCTGAAGAACAAGGTCTCAGAGTTGTCTGACCCTTTTAGGATCAATGGACCACTGTACAAGCTAGAACAGTCATGATGGATTAAGATGGATGCCCACCATGGAAAAATCCATGTAAACTGTTTTGAGTTTTACGGACTCTGGAGAGTTGGCTGAAGTTAGATTTTGGCCTTAAGACTGAGAGCAAGGCTCAAAGAAGACTAATTTCAACTACTAATAGGCTAACAGGTACAGCAACAGGCTCACAGATAACATTAATGGAAATCTGGAAGAATTTGCTAAATATTGTGTGTTATATATCAAATTGACCTGTGCAAAAATCATAGAAAAGCAAGGTTCCGCTCATACTTTCCCCTAATATGCCTTGAAGAGGTACAAGCAAATAACTGATGTAAATGGCATGGAGAGAATCTGCTGCTGTCCCTGATGAATATAAAAAGATGTTCTGTATACACACAGTAGCTTATTTTACTACTTTTTCTTATTCTCTGGGATATTTTGGGATATCTTCCATTTATTCTTCCCTTGCTGCCTGAATTGGAGACAACTGGAATTTTAGCCTTACAGAAATGACTGGCTCTGAGGGAGATGGAACAATCTGTGATCTTCTGCACTGGATTGGTAGATATGACTGGAATGATCTAATAATAATGGCATAATTAAATAATAGATAAGTTATGCACTGTAAGATATGGGATATGATTACTATTCAAGCACCTTTGCTTATTTGGTGGGTGATATGTCTATATTATTTTTATATTATTTTAAAACCACATATTGTTGTGTTAAAGCTTTTTATAACCTTCCCTAACTGTCTATGTTCTCTAAATACTAATGGCATTATGTCTGTGTTCAAGTTAATATTGTTTTCCATATAAAGGTATTATTTTAGGCCGAGGTTAATTAGTTTCAATTAAAATATTGGTTCTGGTCTTCTACACTGATCATAGATTTAGCTTCTCACCTACTGGGTTGCAAAGGAAGAGTTCAGATTCAGAGGAACACACAAAACCAGAAGCCTCCTACTGTAGAAAAGTGTATACAAGCCCTTATTTCAAAATCCATGAAGAGCCAGCAAAAAAGTCCCTTCTGTAACCAGTAGGGAGCATAAGACCCAAAGAATGTGTGCATAAAAAAGTCCAAGAATGAGGCAAGAATTCACAATCTCTTAAGCTCTTTGAGGGGGGGAGGGAGGGGGGGAGGGAGAGAATATCATACATACAAACATATATATGAATGACCAGGGAAGCAGAAAAATAACATAACAGAGAAATTCTGTGGGAATAATGATGCCAAGAGTGAAAAGAGTTCCTTTGGGACCAAGAGTTTCCATATGACAGGGCAGAAACAGGGTGGAGTTTCCTTCCATCAGGACAAGGGCATCAATTTGAAGGCCATTTAAATAGACAATTTAGTGATTACATTCCCCTTCATTCCTAAATCTAATAAACATTGATGTAAACATTAATAGTCCATTTAAAACTAGACTTGAGTGCAAATAATTAGTGCTAAATCTCTTGCACCTGTTAGGACTGCCTCTGCCCTTGCTTTTTAGTTTTTTAAAGTAAGAAAATTTATTTATTTTTATTTATTTAGAAAATTTCTATGCCGCCCCATTTGCCGAAACCTAGGTAGCTTAAGGTCAAACTTGAAGTTAGTTGGTGTGGAAAGCAACCCCTCTTGGGTTTCAGGGATATAGTACACTAAGGGACAAATTTTTGTTTAAATCTCAAGTGTATATGGGGGTTACCTTTTCCTTCCTAGTTATGATTCACACCAATGTGACAGCATTATAAAGAAAGCTGCCCCTCTGGCTCTTCACCTCAGTTTTTAAAAAATCTGTACCCAGCTGCATCATAAAAAAGAACTTGTTTTGAGGACATTCTATGAACTTTACAAATTTAAAGCACCATTTCCAAATTTCCACTCATTTTACCTGCATATCCAATCAATCTTAAACACGCCTCCCAGCATTTTTGCATTCATTCCCGCAGGCAGCACCCAATGTATAGGAGATCCGCCATGATGTGATTCAGATGCAAGTCTTGCAAATCCTGCAAGACAAAACAATGTACAGGCTCACCCATTACTGCTTGCCTGGTCCCAAGTCCAGTGCCTGCCCCTTCTTCACTGAGGGGCAATGCAGCATTCCATGCTGACTACAATGGCAGCTGGGAAAGGAAGCATTCCTCATGCAGCTGTCTGTGGAGTTGGTAGGCAGTAGGCCACAAAGCTTCTCAAAAAAATTCCCATTTAATTATTGATGGCAAACTCGTGAATAATCAAATCCACGAAAGTTAAACCCACAAAAGTCACAGTTCAACTATTATTGAGGTAATATAACCAATTAAGTTTGAGTTAACTCTGAATAAAAATATTAATTTTTACCTTGGAATTTTCCACTTTCTCTCACAGAAAATATTAAGATAACACTCCTTGCTGATCTGAAGGCTGCATTGAGTTTTTTCTCATTGACTGGGAGGGTTGACCAGACACCCTGCAGACATGGACAGACACATAATTTACAAAACACAATGTAGTACATGACTCAGGAACACTTTGCACTTGGGGTGCAAAAAACGTACAAGTATAAATGTCCAGGTTCAATCCCTTCTATTTTCAGTTCAAAAATCTAATAGTCTCAAAAACATATCTATTGAAGGCATTAAAGAGCTACCACCAATTAAATTAGCTAACATTCATTGGTGCTAGACAGTCTAAGTTCATGTACCCAAACTTGGGGAGGAGCAGAGATACTATTGTCTATGGAACTATCTTTCCTCAAATCTTGATACATTAAGTCCAAAGCAATGGGAAAAACAGATGATTTAAAGCCAGAATGTGATGTTTGGGGTGAAGGGAACAAGACAGACTGTAAATAACAAAAAATGAAGTTGCTCAGATGAATATAATTCTGCTCCTTTGTAATAGAGTTTAGGTCAGAGAGCCAATTAGATGCTTGATAATTAATGAACAGCAACTAATCCCATTCCATATTCTGTAGACAAGAAATATATTCTGTAGAAATATTCAATTTCACAGTGAAAAGATTGGATAAGTTGCATACAGTATACCTTAGCTTTGGCAAGTGAAACATTTTCATGGTTGTTGCTTTTGATAAGAAAAAATCTTGCATCCTGGAGAATGTATTTAAGTTTGCTAGTCTGGTCTGGAAGAAAAAAAAAAAAGAAAGAAAGATTTATTGGTATTTTCCTTTCTCCACAAGTAAACATAAAACAACATCTAATTACTGTTATAGCACAACTATTCCTTGCTTTAGTGATGTTCATGCCAATTAAAGCCCCTTTTAATAAATGGAAACTACACAGACAATTTTGAGGAATTTAAATCCTCAAAATATAAATCCTTTATATCCATCACTGTCATATAACTTGGAAATTTGTGTCATAGCATGCACAATGCCAAGCTTTTGAAAGCAAATTTAGCAATTTCAGTAAAAGCCAAAGCAACATTAGTAATGTTCCAACTGGTTTGTTTCTTGGCTGATTATTTGTTTTGCTATTATCTTAATTTATTTTTCCACCCAACACCATTTCATTGTTTCTTTGATTGCCAATTCAGCAACAAAGTATTTCTTGTCATTTAGAAATGCATGCAATAGGTAATTCAAGACTGAGATAAGATTGAGATTGTTGTAAATAGCCCCAGAGAGTTTTGGTTATGGGCAGTAGAGAAATGAAATAAATAAACAAAAGTAAAATAATATTACAATACCATTAGCTCACTAGAATTATTTTCATTATACACTGGAACATTACCGCATTTGATGTAAGTTAACAAAGACTACCAAGATAACTTGCAATGGAAACATGCATTACAAAAATTCAAATTTAAATTATACCTTTTTGGACAGCACGAACGGAAGATGATAATTTCTCATGCTTCTTTTCTGAACCTGTGTTTAGCCAAAGTACATTTGTTCAGATTGAGCCTTAATAGAAATACGATACAAATTCTACAGTCTTTTCACATACTATTCCATTCATGACAAATTATTCCTCCTGATGGGCACCCACACACAGAAAAAGAACACTGCTTAATGTGCAAGAGGGTTTGTTTTGGATTTTTGGATCATTTCATTTTTGTTTGTTTTATCGGACCAGTTTTCTACTCAGAAAACTAGTCAAGGAATCATCATCTTCCAAGTTTAATAAAGAGAAAATTCCATTTAAGCAACAAGATAGCACTAACATAACAAGAACACCTACTTGCCCAAATTGTTCACAGAACATGCCAAATAACAATTCTGTCCATTCAGTCCAGTAGATTTCTTTGGCCCATATTTACTCTGGATATTGCTATTCAAGAGTTTTTGCTACACATGTCAGTAAAATAAGCAACAGAATACCTGCATATGACTCTGATGCAGAGCTTCCACTTCTATCAAAAACAATTGGAGAGATGCCTCTAGCTCTTTTCCTTGCCTTCTTTTTCTCATCTAAGACCACCAAAACAAACGATAGCAGTAATTTTAAGGATTATACCAAAAACTACATCAGAAATGGCTGCAAGGTCAATACAGTGTGCAACAGGTAAATTCATATTTGGCTCTAACAAGGTTTAAAATTACCATCTCATTTGTCCCTTCTTTGGTTAGGATCCAAGAAGCTCAATGCAGTTTTTTTTTACTTTGAACATCAACATTCTGTCACATGGAAGGCTACTCTTAAAATTCAGGGAAATTTCAAGAGCAGTACGAACCTCACAAAGTAAAAAATACTGGATTAGCATAATCCTACTTCTGCTGCCTCAGCAGAATTCAACACATAAAACATTAATTCATATACCCATGATTTGCCATACCACATATGCAATCTATCCTATAGTTGATAAACCCAAGATTAATGTCCAGGTTTGGACAACAAGAAGCAATCAACTAGAGGTTGCATAACGCCCCCCCCCCCCAAAAAAAAAGGGCACAGACTGCAGGAATGAAAACTCAGTAAATATTTCTTTATGGAATTATAGAAGAATAGAGTTGGGCCTATAAGGCCATTGAGACTTACTGCCTGCTCAGTGCTGGATTGCAAGTTAAAGCATCCCTGACAGATGGATGCTTCTTGAATGCCTTCAGTGTGGGAGAGTGTACAACCTCCCTAAGAAATTGGTTCCATTGCTAAACCTCTCTAACAGTCAGGATTTTTTTTTCTGATATCCAACTGGAATCTGACTTCCTCTAACTTAAGCCCATCATTCTATGACCTGTACTCTAGGATGACTGAAAAGAGATCCTGGTCTCTTCTGGAGGACATCCTTTCAAGTATATACACTGCCTCTTCTGCCCAACATAGATTGCAAGTTGTATTCAAAAAATGGGTATAATAAATTCACCTTGAAAGTTCCTATATCAGTGATGCAGACTTCCAGGCAAGGGCTACAAGTGCTGTATATACCAACCTGGTCACTGTGGTCTTCATCTAAAGCCCTCCTCAGCATTCATCCATTTAATGAAGTGAGCAGGGAGTTTGCAAGGAGGACAGCTTTTTAAAGTATAGCACCCCAGCCTTGGAACGCAATTCCATTGGAGTTTTGGTTGGTGCCTACCCTTTTGTCCTTTAGGTGCCAACTAAAGATATACTTGTTCTACAGTTATTTTAATA